ATAGAGAGAGAGAGAGAGAGAGAGAGAGACTCTCTGCTCTCTTAGCTGACAGAAGACAAAACTAAACTGAATAGGAAGTCCCGATAAGGGAGAATGCTGAAACTTATGAGACTAGGAAAATTTATATAAATTCAGGAATATGAACTTTTCTTTATATCTCGTTATCAAATACATGTAGTTACTGTATCATGCCAAAATGAAAGAAAGGTTTAGCCTTAACATACCTTAACTCTGTTAAGTCCTTAATACCTTCCAAGAAATTCTTCAAACAACTCAATTCAATCTACCACAGCATAAGAAGATTCAAAATCAGTGTTGAGTAAAGGTTAAATTTGCAACTTAAACTAGTAGCTCTTTTACGTAAATTTGGGCAGCACCTCCCCTGTAACAAGGACCTCCTCCAATACCATATACCAAAAACACCAAGAAAAAAACAATAAAAACATGTATGCATCATTTTCCAACCTTATCTCCATCAAAATATATCATGAAATAACCCACACACCCTAATCACTTCATACATAAAACGAAAAAAAAGTAGTGTCAAACAACCTAAAAATGTAACAACGAATGACCAGCCCACTATTCCATCATTATGTGGTGTTTGTACTCACCTTTTATCCTCCAAAACTCCATAAAACATCAGCAAAATAGACTATCCAAAAGTAACACGAAACAGCCAACAAAACATTCCACTACAAGTCGAATAACTCGAACTCACGGTTTCCGATCACCGTCCCGTGAGTTCTAACTATTAGGAAATGAATTTATCAATATTATTTGATATTTAAAGCTTAACTACAGAAAGTAGACTTTTTCTTAACTATTAATTACCTTCAAAAACTCAAACTACAAAGAAAAAGAGAGGCGATATAGCGATACTTACATCGTAGAGATCGTTCTAGTGTTATCGCTTCTTGATTTCGCACCCGAGATGTTAATATTCTAGGAAAACCTTGTGGAAAGCTTGAGGATGAGTTTAGGGGTCTTATTATGATCGTGGTATGTGTAAAATTGAAGAAAGAGATGACATAAGGCCTATATATATCCATTTTTGAAAAGTCAAAGAGGTGCTAGCTTTGCACCCTATTGTTGGATCTTCTTCAGACGCTTATATCTTTTTATCTGGATGTTGTATGAATGAATGATTAAGAGCGTTAGAAATTAAATTTCAAGACTTTCAATTTGGTATATAATATGTCCCAAAAATACCTCATATAACACATGAAATGTATTGCTCAAAAAGCTTTAGTGACACACTTACTTGTCATATATCTGTGCAGTCTCACAAAACTGTACATATCTCTCTACTCCTATGTCGTATTGATGAACAATTTAAAGCCTTAGAAAATAGACTCGTAGATATTCAATTTGGTAGGTAGATCATATCCTAGTTCCAAGTATATTGGGAGAAAAGCTCAGCTACATTTGACCTAAATTTCAGCATATTTTTGAATGTAACTTGTGATGATCTTTGCCAACTTTTGTTTCACAACTCACTTGACCTCAAAACATAACACACAACTATCATAAGACAAAAATAACTCATAACATAACCTCCTTATTATTTTCATCACCCTAGTCCCACCCCAAAAGTACATGTTATAACATTCCCAACTTGTCGACTTTCGATGAAACTTATTTTCTTCAATTGGTTTAGCTTCTAAGCCTTCCAACCCTCTTGGTACTTGCCGTCCATGATCTTAAGTATTTGTAACCTCCAAGGTAATATGATTAACTTACTTTATGTACTTTCAAAGATGATCCCATTTCAAATCTTACATCAATTGACTTACGATGTATTCTCACATACGAAACTTTAGGGTGTAACCAATTGCCTCAATCCGAGACTCCCATTCTTAAAATATGGTAAAATTAGCAAACCCTTCGAAATATAATCTTCTACCCAGGGAATTCCGCTTCTGCAGGCCAACAGTTGTATATGCAACATCACATCTTCACAGAATACATCACAGATGTGAAACTCACGCAACTCCTACCTCCTTGCTTTTGTGTGCCAAAATACGCATCTGCAGTACCACAAGTGCACTCCCCATGCGCATATATGCCCCCGCACCTACGCTAGGAAATCCGCATTTGCAGACAGACCTGCCTTTGCCCCAATTGCATTTATGTGCCTCATATGCCATATCTGCGGCTCCAAACGTGCGCCCAAAGTTCTGCAGGTATGACCACAGAAGATCCCTGCCAAAACTAGCAATGCAACACAACAAAAAATGGCTCGAAACAACCCCAAATCACACCTGAGCCCCACGGGACCTCATCCAGTCTTGCCAACAAGTCTGATTACATAACACAGACCTAATTGAGGCCTCAAATCACACAAAATAATATCAAAGCCATAAATCTCACCTCAATTCTAGCTTAATGAACTATTTCAAATTTCAAAACTCCAACTTACGCCAAACTTGTCTAAACAACTCGGAATGACCCTAATTTTGAGCACAAGTCATAAATCACCATACGAACCTATTCTAGGGCTCAGAATCATAAACGAACATCAATAACCACAAAAGTCAACTATAGGTCAAACCTGTCAACTCTCTAAACCTTTAAACTTTCAACTTTCGACGATTAGCCTCAAAATCATCTAGGACATCAAAACTCAAATTTAGGAATATTTCCAAGTCTAAAATCATCATCTGAACCTAACGGAACCATCAAAACATCGATTCGAGATCAAATATACAAGGGTTAAACTTGGTCAATACTTCCAAATTAAAGCTTCTAAATTGAGAACCATTATTCCAAATAAACTCTCGAAAACAAAAACTGACCTTACACACAAGTCATAATACATCGTATGAAGCAACTCAAGACCTCCAACCATCGAACAGAATGCTAATGAACAAAATAACCAGTCGGATCATTACAATACTACATGACGCGCTAACTCTATGGATCTCATCTCATACTGACTCATAATCAATACCGATTGGTGTAGATGCTCAAAATCTCTACGCAACTCCTCTCTGCAAGTCTATGGAACGAACTTCTCTAAGAAGAGAACCAAAAACTGATGCCATGTGGGTGGTGCTGTGCCAGCTAGCCTGCCCGACTCCTAGGTCTACCACCACCTGTAGGTTGGCCCTTTCAGTTGAAAAGTATTGAAGTCAACTCCATTGGAGTCCACAAGACCAGCTACGCAAAGAATTTGATGGCACTGATCAAGAAAACCTGAGCAACCTCTGACTCTCCTCCACTGAACTAGGAGAACGAACTCTCTAGAATCGCTCTAACATCTTCTACTCCTCATCAATCAAAGGTGGTCCAACCCCAGCCTGTAGCGCAATAACTAGTAGCACTGGAAAAACCCCAGTGTTTGATAACCCTGAGCTAGCTGCTCCAGTGTACGGGCGGTGGGAGTCTGGGCTCCTCCCCCGGCCTATGAGGTGGCTAGTGTAACTAGTATCATACCTGTTTGAGCTAAGTTTGTATACATACTCAAGATCTATGAAGCAAGTGTTGTCCTAATGAAATGGCAGATAGTTTAGTATAACATTCATTCCTGACCACTGTTTCCTTCTTAAGACTAAAGCTAGTAGTGAGATTTCTATTCTACCGCCCTATCTAGTAAGATCCTCTAAAGCTATGTTTGGTGTAATCAATATAATAGTTGGGCTCATCTTTATTGAAGAAGAAGGGGTGAAGTCTTAACTACCAGACTACTACTATACCAAACGCACTCCACAAGTGGATTAGTTGAGTGACTAGACTGATACTCTAAACAAGATCCTTGGTTTGACCTCCCATAGTGGTCCTTGCTTTTAAGAGAGCAGAGCGGGGCCAATTTCTCATACTTGCTCAGCGTTCCCCCTTTCTTCGAGTGCGCTGCCCAGTTTACTGGGTTGTTGGCTTACCAAGCACTTGCCTGCTACTCTTGCCGCCCGCGTGTGGATCCTAATGACTTCCAATAAATGTCGTTTTTCCATTCTGCAACCCCATTTTGTTATGGGGTGTATGGGCATGTCATTTGAGACTCAATACCTTGCTTTTTTAAATACTGCTATAGTAGTTTCTAGGAGATTTACTCTCTACCATTATCTTAAGTCTTTTTATAGAAGCATTGTATGGAGTTTACAGTCTTTTGATGTAAAGGAAGTATAAAACTAACCTCATTCTTAGATATTTGTTGATAAACAGTTTAGTTGTAGCGGATTCATAGGTCAATAAATCGTTGGATTTGAAGTAGAACTCTCTACCTTGTGGATAGGAATTGAAACTTTCAATGGTCCGCTCTTCTCTCCTCGTGATCGAAGCTGACCCCAGATGTTGGGTATTCCTTCTTAAGAGGACACTAACCCTCCCGATCTTGCTAGCTGGGGGCTCAGTCTTTCAAGATTCAATCTTTACCCTTCCGGTACTACGGAATCGCTCTTATAGTCCTTTGATCATTGAGAAATAAAGATGTGATTACCTAAGGTGAGGTTAACCTTGTTTCTGCCTTAGAAGAGGTATTGTTTAGGTCAGTGCTCTATTTTTCAATAAAATTGATATTTTTAGGCAATACCTATGAACGTAGCTCAGACTGAATCTACATCAGCCTCTGTAGCTCTTCTATTAGAGCGGACCTTTTTTCCAGTCCTATTCTTTTCTTTTAAGTTCCTTTTGGAACACATCATGTTGGGATGTCTGCACCTCTTTCTATTTTGAGACGACCACAAGTTCTATTAATCCTGCTCTATCCAGTTTGAGGTCGTCTGAATAAGCACCTTGAACCAAATTCAAAACTTGTCTCTGTATGGCAGGAAGCTCTTAATTTATTTCATACGGTGTTCTCGTTGAAACACGTGGGCATACTCCTTGCTTTTAGGGACAGTGATCCAAAGATCGATTATAGTGTGTGCACCATTTTTCTTCTCTACCATGATGAATCAATTTATTTAATATAGGCTTCAAAGTCTCCTGAAGACCAAGCATAGAAATAGGTACTGCCGGAGTTTGAGTTGGTCCCACTGGCTCAAAAATATCTAGAACCTGCTTTTCCATTGGAGCAACTAGTAGCTCCACAGATGCTGCTCTAGTTGTAGCACGAGCCCTACCTCGGCCTCTATCTAGGCCCCGGCGTCTTGCAACCCTAACTGGAGGCACTAGTGATGCTCGGCTGATCTGGCTAAACGTTTCCTCACCATTTGTGAGAGAATAGAAGAGTAAAGGTTCAAACTTCAAAAATAACAAAGTCGCATGATAGGAATGAAATAAAGTGAAGTTTTCCTAACAGTTCGGTAGCTTCTCAAAGATTAGTACAAACGTCTCCATACCGATCCGCAAGACTCTACTAAACTTTCTCATGACCCGTAGAATCTATGAACCTATGGCTTTGATGCCAACTTGTCATGACCCAAAAACCACCATCCGATCGTGATGCCTAATTTACGTGCTAGGAAAGTCAAGCATAACAAAAGTGAAGCAAGATAATAGAATTAATGAAAATAGTACAAATCTAAAGCCGAATGACAAACAAACTGCGTCAATACATAAAATCCCCCAGAACTAGTACAAGTCTTGAAATACGAAATAAAAATATTGTCTAAATAATAATAACAACAACTGAAATGGAAAGAGGCGTCAAAACCTGTGGTCGAAATGCAGCTCTACCTCGTCTCTCAGCAACTCACAGCAAAATCACAACAGTTGACAAGTGGGTCCAACACCTGGATCTGGACAATTAAGTGCAGAGCGTAGTATGAGTATAATCAACCCTATGTAATCATCAAGTATCGTAACTAACCATTACGAGATAATAGTGGCAAGAATTATCAATGATACTCGCTAATAACATACTCAATTCATGAATTTCACAAGTACACAGCAATGGTACCATCTAATCATAGAAGTACTGATAAAATCACATCGGCGCATGAAGAGATAATGAGCCAAATATTGTATCAGTTAACAACCTAGTGTCACACCTCCTTTTTACCTACACCCCCCGGGAAAGGTATAAGGGAGTTTTTTCCAATTAAAGGACAATCGAAACGGGATTATTTTATTTAAAATCAGAGTCGCCACTTGGGATAATTTATCGTGTCCCAAGTTACAAATCCCGAATCGAGGAAAATATTAATTCTGTATTACAGTCCGCGAACACAGAAAATCTGGGTAAGGAATTCTGTTAACCCGGGAGAAGGTGTTAGGCATTCCCGGGTTCCGTGGTTCTAGCATGGTCGCCCAACTATTACATTTGGCATGTTATCTGATTTAAAAACATTTTGAACTTATGTGCATCTTAGCTTTAAACCGCTATTTTAAGGAAGATTTCAACGTCATCTAAAACACATCTTTGAACCATGCCACATGAAATGCACCCGCAGTCCGAGGCGCATTTTATTTAACGTTGTTAAGATTTGGATTTGGGTTACATGAAATGCACACCCGAGTTTAGGAAGGTAATTTTAAATTATGTGCCTAAAGCAAACTACGAAATTCATTTTTTATAACTAGGTTATGAAATTAATACGAGGGTCATGTATGATTAAAATGTGGATGGCACACCTCAGACTATATGAACTAAATTTAATTAGCGACCAATTAGAAACAATTTTATTGCTAAGAAAGCTTGATCGAAGTTGCGCGAACGCATAATCCGAATTTGTTTTTAGGATTATAATTATGTCACGCGAACGTGTACGTAATCACGATAATTTGATTAAAAACTAACCTAGAGGCATCTGCAATTATAAGGTTCCCCAAGAGCACTGAATGCTAGGTATGCATAACACTAAATTAATAAGTTCACTGACTTTCCAATATCTTGGATCATCCTTAACGATTTGTAAAATAAACAAATTTTAAATCACCGTACACTTAGACATTAGTGTTAGAAAGAGAAATGTAGTGACTTCTGTGGTGTTGTTGGACAACTAACTGCATCAAGATTAACAGACTCCTAATTTGTATAGTCCATTGTTTCATATTTTAGAGAGTCAACACAGAATTCTAAAGAGATCAATATCTGATTAAGTTTCTAAAGAAAACATTTACAAACAAATTGCATATATTCACACATCTATGATCTATACACTTTGGTATATCCATATTGTGTTCAAGGCTCCATGATGACTTTTCAGATCAAACAAATGTTTGTAAGACCAAATATGTAATCCCATGGTCTAGAACTCACACGTATGACACACTATTAAATTACTGGAATCTCCTCAAATCCATCTTAGCTGAAAATGTTTCATTTTGCTAGAAGTAAAAGGCGTGGCATCTAAGGGGAAGCATATCATTACTAATATTAGTTCATCAATCTTAATCAATTGTCGACAGATAGAAGCAAGACAGATCTGCTAGTCGAACAGAAAGGACACAGAAAAATCGAACATATTCATAGAGTCAAAAATCCCAATACTCATTCACATTCAAAAGAGGATTTCAGGTAGATGTATACATACCTAAATAGCCGAAAATAAACTGATTACAACAAGCAAGGGTCTAAAATAGAAGATGAATTTTGAGCTCCCAACAGCGAACAAACACCAACAAAGTTCCTTCAACAGACCCGGAAATTGACTCCAAAACCGGAAGAAATTGAAAGCAGGCCTTTTAATTTTAGTTTTCAACTTTCGTTTGAAGCTCTTTGGATTTTATTTTTCCACATTTTCAAAATCTAGCAATTTTGAGTGCTTGTATTGTTTCAGGCGCATGTGTGTGCTAAAAACGTGAGTGAAGGAGTGAGAGCAGAAAGGTGTGAGGATAGAAGAAGAGAGCAGGGGTCGTTGGTTTGGTTAAGGAGAAGCCATTGAAATGGCTCTTCTTCTCTGAAGAAGGAGCTCCGTCGGTGGGGGATGTGTGAAGGAGACGAGATCCAGAGGGGGGGGGGGTCAT